CTTTCCCCAATTCCCCAGCACTGTTCCCATCCCCCCAATTCCCCAATAAAAATCTTTAAAAACAAAAACAAAAACAAAAAAAACTTTGTATAGATGGTTACTAGACTTATTGTGGAGATCACTTTGTAAGGTATATAAATATTGAATCACTATGTTGTACACCTGAAACTAATATTACATCAACTGTACTTTGATCAAAAATAAATTTTGTGCATTTTATGTCAATTGTACCTAGATTAAAAAGTTTAAAAAAGACTTCATGTAAAATTTTAAGACCATTTTCTAGCTCCAAAAGATGCTCAGTCACATTCACCCTTCCATTTGAGTAACTAGTGTCACTCAACAACTAACACTGAAGACAGGAGGCAGATCACCTCCGACGACGCGTTTCAGGTTCTCCCTCTCCCTCTCCGCTTCCCACCACAGCCTTGCTGGGTTTCCTCTCTGAATTGACACTTGGAGTGAACTTACCAATCATGTCTGTGTCAACAGCTCGATCATAATAGTAAGAGAAAGCGTAGAAGGAGCTTCTGTGGATCTCCTCTGGCTGGTGCAGTTTTCCTCGGACCACCCTCAGCACTTCAGCATAGCAGGGCTCAAAGCCCGCCTCCCCTGCCAGAGCAAAGGTGCACGGGGGCAAGGTGAGGAAAATGATAGGGGAAGGGGCCACTCTGCGGCAAGTAGCTGGGGCCAAAGAGGGAACAGCAGGACAGTCAAGGAACGCAGAGGCTGAGGCCCAGGACAACGGGCTTACTACAGTGAGCGAACTTCCAGAGCCTCACAGCTCTGGAGCCAAGAGACCTGCTGCTCTGGCGGCTCCCCTCCCTAACCTGTGTTCCAAGAAAACCAGCCACAGCCGATCTTGAGCTGCTGGCTAGCATCCTGTTTCATGGTCCTTAGAAGTAGCCAAAAGGCTTGCCTAATTCCTTTACTGGAAAAATCAAGAGCTTTTCCTTGATTTTAAGGTCTGTGCCTTTTATAATACTTAAAATGAATTGCTGTTCCTATCATCTAAATTTTAAGTTTTATTGTAAATAGCTAAACATTAACTGAACCTGAAATGGTTTCACCCTGCCAAGCCCCTTAATGCATCAGACCCAGGTAAGAAGGGATCCACAACACTGGGCCAGGAAAAGAGCAGGGTACAGTGGCAGCTGCCTCGTCCACTGTCGCTTCACATTCATCCTTGGAGGCATACCAAGATCTATTTGGAATGAGTCCTTGCAACATGACAAGCTTCTCCTGTGCTCTGGAAAGTTTTCCATGGGACTTGCCCAGACTTCTACTGTAAAAAGATTGTTAATCAGTGAAAGGACACCACTTGCCTTCTTGGTTGCCACCATACTGGTATTTCACACCCCCAAAAATCCACTCTGCTTCTAACCACCTTGGTAGACAGGCACTGCGAAAAGTGTATCCATCAATCCCTGAAAAAAACCAGACCAAAAAGTAAGAGGCAAGGATGTGAGGGAGAGGGAGGAAGGCAAGCAAGAAGCCAGTAAGGTTGAAAGGAATCACCAAGGTGGTTGGGCCTTAAAATGATGAAATTAGTTCCACGACTATATCCTATGACAGCAATTTTTAACAGGGTTCTTAGATGGACTTTGTGGTGTTGGCAAACCCTCTGAAACTATAGGAAAATTTGTGTTCATATATATATTTGGCGGAGGGGTCCAAGGCTTTCATCACATCTCAGAGAAATCCAATTTTCTACAATGGAATAAGTTCTCTCCTTTCTAAAATAGGGGAAAAAAATACTGTTCTATTTTTCTCATTGGTTTTTGTGAGGCTTAAGTGAAATACACTTGAAGATGTTTTTATAAACTCTGACATGGTATACAATCATCCCAATAATAATAGCTTACTGTGAGCCAGGCACCATACAAAGTGCATTAAATGCAAAATCTTCCTTAAGATGAAAAAAGGGGCATGGAAGTTTAGCTAACTTGCCCCAAATCACAAAACTGAAACTGAACCCAGTTCTGCCTGACCTCAAAAGCTGAGCTCTTAACCTTGTACCACCTGTGAAGAGATAAATGGAGTTGCTCAGCTATACCACCTTGCAAGTGGACCTTGCTGCTTCCTGTATCTCCCATGTAAAGCTAAGGGCTTGAGCAAGGTCCTGCCAAATTCAACTTCATTCTGAGCCTTGAATTTCTGCAGATACTTCAGCCTCCTGGCCACATGCTGTTCTCCCTATACAAACAGACCTCGTTCTAGAAATGGCTAATAATGTACACCAAGACATCTGAACTCATAAAGGAGAAAAGGAATTTGCTGCTATTATGTCCATTATATAACATATGCTTTCTAATTTGGCGTAACCCTTTCCTCCATAGAATCACTGCCAAGGAAAGGAGAAGGCAAAGCTGAGTACTGGTGTCACTCTCACAATACCGCAACCAGCACAGGTACCCCGACGAACCTTCCGTTTCCAGGGCTCCCAGGGTTGCTAGTCTTGCAGCTTTCAATCCAAATCCCAGGTAACTGCAAAATACAGGATTAACTAATTTCATGCTGGTCCTGAAGTTCTCCAGCCTCAAGTTACCTCTTTCAAAAGTATTATAACATGGTTTCTGTCTCCCTATGAGGGAGGAAAACCTTATTCTCTGTGACCTGTTAATCTAGTGTGGACAAGTGGTAACTTCTGCATTTTAGATCAAGGCCATGCAGGAAGAACTTTGCACAGCTGGAATTTAAAGGCCAGAGATAGTGACACTTCCTAGGGTCCGAAAAGCTCTCATTATCTTAGTTCCCAGCCCCGCTGTGATCCAATTCTAGGCTGGATTTTCAACATCTGAAGGCAAGCTCAATGGAGTTGGCACAGAGCTTTGGCTGAACCTTTTCTGAGTGACTATTTCTAGAGAAAACTTTGACTCTTTAAGTTATATACTTTTGAGGCCCACAACGAAGAAATCCTTGGGTCCCTTGGCCTTTGGTAAGTGGCTTGGGTTTCAGTTAATAGGCCTTTGGGAATTGACAGACTATGTAAAGCTGGTCATATGCAATAATAGATGTGAAAATGCTTTGAAAAGTTAGGAGAATCATACCACGTGAAATATTATTATTCCTCCCTGTCCCCCTCCTCACCTATGTGTATAGAGCTTATAAGTGCTGTTAAACATCTCAAAGGAAGTGAGGTAGCCCCTAGGGGTTTGTTCCAGGGTTTTCTGAAAATCAGAAAAAGCAAAAAGACCGTTCAGGATCTTAGAATATCTAAAGATGTTATCACTACCATCCCTGTCCCCCCACCAAAAAAAGTTAAGAGATGAAGGAGACAAATTAAGCTGCTAAGCTCACAAGGCTTGAGGAATCAAAGGGACCCTGAACAGTGGCAAAGGGAAGTTCACTCAGTCTCTACTCAGCCTATTTGTGGTGGAGCTGCTGTCTGAAAATAGGGTACCACTTTCTTAACACCATGATATGCCTGCCTAGTGAGTGCTAACCAAACCTTCATGTTAATGACTCACCTGAAACTGGGGCAGGAATGTGATTTGGGTGGAGGCCCCCCCCAGATCCAGGGTCCCCACAGTCTCCTGGCTGTGGCTATGCAGCTGACCTGTGAATGAGAGCCAGTTCTGAACATCTGCTTTCTGGACAACCCAACACTCCTCTGTCTGCAATTTCTCTCTTGATCTGGAGGAATTCCATACATACTCCAGGGCTCCCTGCCCCCAGAGGCTGCAGGCCAAAGCTAACCTAGAAGGACTCCTGCTGCAGCTGAGGCCTTGAAGGCAGACTATAAACACTAACTTCCTGTCTTTCCTTTTATTTTTTTTAACGAAAGGAAAGAACAATACAGGAAAATACAGGGACAAAAGTTATTTTTGCGCTCTGATCTTGTGTGAAACCCGATCAAGGTCTTAGGATAGACTTGAGAATGTATTACCTGTCAGAAAATTCACAGTAATCCAAGCTAAAATGCCTAAAAAAAAGAAAAGAAAGGAAAAAGACAAGGATTACATCCCAGAGCACCTTCCCCCCTGTTCTCTGGCCCCATTTTTGTTCATTTTCTCTCTGAATTTCATATCTAAATCCCACATTTCCCTTTTCCCCATCTTTCCATTTCCTGCTATTCCATTCCTCTTTGCTTATTTCTTTCTCCTTACTTAGTTCCTTTTTCTTCAGCACCCAATCCCTGTTCCCATTTCCTTTAATCAGATATTTTATTAATCCTGGCCCTCTCCCCCAGAACATATATCAACACCTCTCCACCTTCATATGATCCGTCCATGATGCTAACACTGTCGTTTGGTACCAGGAAAGGTGACTTCTTGAAGATCTCTTTTACCTAGAGAAAAAGGAAAAAATCTGGATTCCCTAAAGCAATAAAATATTTTCATATTTTGGCTGTATCCCATAAGGCTTAGAAAACTACTCTTTTCATTTTCCCTAAATAAAATTTTAGCAAAATTCATTCCTTTTCCCTAAGAAACTAGAGAAAGAACCAGGCAAGTCATTATTGGTTTCTTATAAAAACAAAAAACAAAGATTCCCCCTGACTAAAATAAGCCGCAATTAAGAGCCATCTACATTTATAGGTGAATTGGACCTAGGAAAGGGCACACATTTGATCCCGTCAGCTCCAATCAGGATCCTGTAATTTTTTAAGAAAACACCTGATTAATTCTACCTGCACATGTACTGGAAACTAGGAGCCCCTTTCCCACTCCATTTCTTAGATGAGCAGATAAACTCAGATAGTGGAGAAGAGTTGGGCCTAGGTGGCTCCTGAGACTACAGGAAAGTTTCTGCTGCTCTCCTATCAAATTCTACAGTCTGTCCTTCCTGGAAAAGGAGTTCATGTCCACAGGCTGAGGTACTCTGCTGCCAGCCCCTGTCAGATCCTGGCACATGGCTGGGGCCTCAAAAGAGTCTAGAGAGACAGTAGAATTAGATTTATTTATCCTGTCTTAGAAGATGAAAATGAAGATCTCGCACAAATGCTCTTGATTCTCCATAAATAAAGGTCAATGAAATGGGTGTTACATCTTATTTTACTATGATTATCATGGGGTGAGGGGTGGGGATGGGAAGTGTTTCCAAATAGGAATAGGAAAAAGTCAGGCTGCTGGCTATTCTCATAGCTGATGGGACAAAACATTCCATGCAGTGACCTCTGGACCCTGTTTCAACCAGGAAAAGTCAGTTAAGTGATCTACAAACAAGCTTTTAAGATAGATAAGCAAACAGGAATAAACATACAAAGAGAGTTTCTGTTCTTGTCCTCTCTACCCCTCCCCTCTACCCACAATTTATTCTCAGCAGAGCAGCCAGAGTGGTGCTTTAAAAACAGACATCAGATCGTGTCTCTCTTTAGCTCAAAATCCTCCAGTGGCTTCCTTCTTAGAGAAACAGCCAAAGTCCTTACACTGGCCTTTGAGGCCTCACATGATAAACTGTATTATTCCATTAATATGATACATAAGAACAAGCAAAACTAATCTATAAAGACATAAAGCAGATCAGTGGTTGCCCGGTTTCAAGGGAGAGGGAAACTGCAAAGGGGCACAAGGAAATATCTGTATTTGTCAACACTTATTCAACTGTACACTTAAAATTGATACATTTCATTGTACATAAATTATTCCTCATTAAAGTTGATTAAAAATAATTTCTATGATTCTGCTGTAACAAGTTAAGAGAATTAAGAATGTCATGGACAGGAAGTACTTTAAACTTTTTAAGAAAAACCCTATAAATTCAAGACACATTTAAAAATGTAAATAACCAGGGCCAGCCGAGTGGCTGAATTGGTTAAGAGTGCGAGCTCTGAGCAACAGGGTCGCCGGTTTGATTCCCACATGGGCCAGTGAGCTGGCCCGAGCTGAGCTACCGCTGAGCTGCCAGCAGGTGGCAGGATGACTCAGCTGGTGAGAGCACATGCTCCAAACAACAAGGTTGCCGGTTTGACTCCCACATGGGATGGTGGGGTAGGCCCACCCGCAACTAAGACTGAACACGGCACCTTGAGCTGAGTGGCCATGAGCTGCTGACGGGCAGATGGATGGTGACCGGACTTGGCACTGAGTTAGCTGTGCCCACCACAACTAAGACTGAAGAACAACAACTTGACTGTTCCCCTTCCCCAATTCCCCAATAAAATCTTAAAAAAAACAAAAGTAAATAACTAACTTTAAAAGAGCCCAGAGTCACAACACTGCTTTAGTGATAGTGGACTACTTAAGTTAACAGTGACACTCTAAAGGGCTTTAAACCCATAAAAAAATATTTACATAGGGAAAAAGAATTATCCAAGATTCAAATGATTTCAAAAAATTACCTCAAAGAGCAGAGCCTGGGCTTTCTGATCTGGCAGTAAGCGCAGTCCTGCCGTTGCCTTCAAGACCACTGGGGTCCTTTTCCAGTGACTTCGGGGGATTGAGTCTTTGGCCACCTCTAAGAGTCCTTGAACAGTCTCAGCACCCTTCAAAAAGAGATGAGCCACTCATCCAGTGAATGGTCCGTATGGTGGCACTTGTTTTTCCCTCATCATGCCCCAGGGAGTAACAGGAGTGAGGTAAGTGGCAGAGGGCTACTTCTGCTCTACAGGAGCAGAAACCTAGAGATGGGGGCTTCTTTGAAGGAGAATCCATTTCATTTTTGTTACGTCATAATAAAAATTATGCTTTTATAGTGAGGTCATTTTAATTGATTGTTATTTTGTGGCTCATATAAATTAGCTTCAGGCCAGAAAGCTGAGTATTATAAAGGGAACTCAGGATTTGGAGTTAGGAGACTTGCTTGCCAGTCCTGTGGCCTAACATAGGGGCGTTCTAGGCTTGGCTTCCTCAGCTGTGAGATGGGAGATACGCCTCACACCACCACAAAACTGTTGTGTGCATTAGATGAGGCAGATTATGTGTAGTTGCCACACAAATGTAGCTGTTATTATGCTACCCTTTCTATGATTTCCATAAGGACAGAATATGTCAGGTTCATTTTTGCATCACTGGCACCTACATGTATGGTTGCATAGGTGCTCAATTTATGATAAATTAAAAATCACTATTTTTGGGCCGGCCGAGTGGTGCGTTGGTTAAGAGCTGGCTTGGGACGCCAGAGGGCCCCAGTTTGGATCCCACATATGAGGGCCAGTGACACTGCCCTCTA